CTTTATGTCAACTGCATCAGCTAGGCTTAGCAACCGAAGAGGTACCAGACTAGTGAGTTGAGATGGCTGAATGTTTGTCAATATTGTGCCCTGTATCCACTAGGTGTGCCAGTATGGAACTTCTGATTGACTTTATAACTGCTCTGCCTAGCCACGTTGGAAAATGCTCCAGAAGGTGACACTGGATAACTGTAAATATTATTATACTTTTATTTTATTTGTAATGCTAACTGTATTATCAATATCATGCTGTGCTCTGGTTGTGCATCTTATTCTCGGTTTCGCAATTTATTATCACCATATTATCTAATTGCTATGTGACAATAGTTATCTTCGCCTCTACTCCTACTAGTATGCACATTCTACCTATACACTCACCATTACCTAGATTATATGTACATTTGAATGAATTTACCTTGTTATTGTTATTATGGTCACGTCGATTGTTATCCATTAGCGGATGCCCGGCGCTCTTCACCGGGTTGACTGTCCATTGGATGACAGTCTCGGGGAGATGACTAAACCCTGATTCCAAACCTCCAACGACTGGCGTATGAAGCTCACTGGAGCCCACCGGCAGACGTATGGACAAAGGGCTTGTTGGATGTCCTGGATGTCTGGCCCCATTCAAAAAAGCGTATGAACCGAACTCCGGTCACCGGCTGCCAATGGATAGTGGACTCCCTACTCCACTCCTACTGCCTTGTAGGTCACACTTGGTTGTGTAAAGGCTAGAGCTGCACTCTCAAACAAAAGACCGAGCGATTCTGGGGACATCACTCGTACCAAATTCCCATGAAACTTCATGAGTCGCAAAACCTTGCATCAGATCGCCGCGCCTGGGCAGCGATGATTCGAGATGTTCATGAAGCCGGCTCATCCTCCCGTAGGAGATAGCCGAAGTAAAGTAAAGTAAGTAATTCATATCTCTGTGATTTCTGATACTATATTCTATTAACCACACTAATTCAAATGCCTATGACTAATATTTCATTATGCTGTGAATGTAAAGCCTGATGAGAATTTACCGAAAATACGTATCAGCTTAAATCGTGTTCTATAATTACTCAGCAAGTTGAGAGGTTTGATAAGGTAACACTGCCAAAAATTATACTGAATTAAATAAACAAAAGGTGGTAAGTTATATACGCATATACACAAGTACCTTAAACCTAGCTGTATTTAGTGACAATATTTTTATCAAAGTGGTTGCCAGACCTTTGTTTATATTGACGACAGTTTTCACTCTCTGGTTCTATTGAAGCTTATTAGAAATGTTGTTGTGAATGTCACTTACTTCTCATCCTAATTCAAAAACTGACTTTATCACAGGAGATGGCATAATTTACTTGACAAGCTCTAAAGAATAATAGTCTTAGGCGAAAATCTGACAAAATGCATAGTCTTTCAGATGCTTTGGATGATAATATTCGAATATTAGCCTCAGGATGGTCGGGGGGTGGGTGCCTTGCGCTACGGGTTGGCCACCCCTCCACACCCCTCTTGAAATGTTCCCATATGACCGGGCGTCTTACATAGCCTCTCCTGAGGAAGTCCTACTCACTGCCTTCACGTGGCGGAGGTATTTTTCACCAAAGTGAGAGGGCGAAAGCGGATGCCCGGCGCTCTTCACCGGGTTGACTGTCCATTGGATGACAGTCTAGGGTAGATGGCTAAACCCTGATTCCAAACCTCCAACGACTGGCGTATGAAGCTCACTGGAGCCCACCGGCAGACGCATGGACAAAGGGCTTGTTGGATGTCCTTGATGTCTGGCCCCATTCAAAAAAGCGTATGAACCGAACTCCGGTCACCGGCTGCCAATGGATAGCGGACTCACTACTCCACTCCTACTACCTTGTAGGTCACACTTGGTTGTGTAAAGGCTAGAGCTGCACTCTCAAACAAAAGGCCGAGCGATTCTGGGGACATCACTCGTACCAAATTCCCATGAAACTTCATGAACTCTCTTACAAACGATCGCAGGGTTGGACAGCTGAAAACATGGCTTGGTACAGTCAAGGCTGATATGGAGTGCCTGGGGCTACAAACCGTCTACGGACTCCGTCTGTGGAACAAGAATTGGATAACCCTGTCGCAAAACCTTGCATCAGATCGCCGCGCCTAGGCAGCGATGATTCGAGATGTTCATGAAGCCGGCTCATCCTCCCATAGGAGATAGCCGAAGTAAAGTAAAGTAAGTAATATTAGCAACATATTTTTAGCATCCAGACTTAAGACTGCATTTAAACTCTATCTGACTATAGAAAGTGAACTGTTCGAGTAACTGGATGACTTCAGTTGACAGAAAAGGCACATCAGCTTTAGTGTGTGGATGGCTAACGAAATCTGGCCACAGATAAAAGAAGGTTGTGTGGCTCTTATTCAGTCAAACCACTAAGGAATCGACGATATAAGAACATGCGCTGAAATATAAGTTTACATATGAGTTATTTCAATTTGAAAGGCGTTATTAAAATAAGAAGTTCATCGGCACAACATGATACATTTTCGCATTACATTTTAAACACTCTAATCACATATCTACCTGTCAAGCCAATTAATATGCAAATGAAGAAATGAAAGGTCAACTAAAATACACTACTCGTGATCATATAGTCAGATAAGGGTAAACAAGGTACGTGAAGTATACAGAAGCAATTTCCGAGGTACTTTTGATTGGGAGCAAAGATGACATAATAAAATAGACGATTTGCTTAAAGTCTAATTGAACAGGGCGGTCTCACAGGTTGTACTAAATATAATATAAAAAGAGGATTTAAGAGGGTGCAACCCACCAGTTTTATCGCTACAATATATGATAACATCAGTGTATTGACCGACAAACTAAGAAAACGGATATCCTGTGAAATCCTTGCTTCGGTGCAGAGGACAGCCAGTTTCAAAGCCTACAATTTAACCCGTCGCAAACAGAGATTTCTATACCAAATTACCTTACAAAGAAGAAACAAGCCGTATGATTTTAGATGGAAATTCAAGTCTGTCACCAGTAAAAACGTTTTTATCGAAAGATCAAAGCGAATTCTCTACCATTTACTATTGCATTCCAAAAATGATTACGCCATATTTTACACGAGGAGGAGTAATCAGACTTTGTAGGTGAGCTTAGGAGACTATACTACTGATTGGCTGATATGAGTAGTTGGATATCCCACACATCAACCAGTAGTGCTTTCTAACCAGATTGAGCTTGAGGGGACACAAGCCTAAATACACGGGGAAGAACTGTACTACAAAAACGTGATGAGTATATGTGGCAGGACACTGTCACCCTTCAGAGCAAAACACATCGTAGATACGGACCGATATAAACTTACGGTTTTACACATGTCCAAAGTGGATGTTAGAATGTACTGTAGAGAGAGTAATTCGTAAAACGAAGCCGCCTTTCAGTGTGTAGAAACGAAATACTGTTAAACTTAACCTACCTTGGGAAATGTTTATTTGATTACCTTACCGAAAATCGTGTTAATTATCATCTTTCCTTCTCTTAAATCCTCTATTATTATTTTGTTCATTTTAATTGGCTTGGCCGGTACATATGTAATCAGGTTATTCGATATGAACAGGTAAACTCTGTCTTTTAACAATACTCTCTAAATTTACTAAAATGACTAAGGTTTTAGTCAGTAAAATCAGGCACTGTCTAGGATACTTTTCTTCCTGCTTTTGCGTTCAGAGTGGAACATGAGGCCACAAGCTTGAACTTTGAAGTTTCAGTAACAGAGGCGTCATTTTTACGGGATGTGGGGTTGCTAGTCTCACGTCCAAACGTCGTTCTACCAGCGAAGTGAGGTCTAAGTTCGCGTGTGCCAAGATTCGAATCAAGACTATGTGCGCGTTTGCTGACAGTTCTACTACTGAGCCACCAACGCACACTACGGTTACCGTGGTGATATATATAAACTTCATTTCATTTTGATATGTTATTCATGTAGGTAACTGTGACGTCAACATATATATATATATATCCCTTCTTTAACTGTTCAGTATTTGAATTAGTTTCATGAAAAAAGCAGGATTAGGGCAAATAACTGAAATTAACCTTAAAGATTCTAAAGCTGCTGAACTTGTCTTCCTCTTAACACTAATAATTTGTCAGGTTAATTCATTAGCTTCGTTCTTGTCAAATTGTCCATAGTTAACCTTCTATTCGTCCTTGTTAAGCCATGTGGAATGTGATTTATTTTGTCTGTTTTATTTTAATTCCAGTAAAGAAAATCTAAAGTTTTTGAATAGCTTTAACTCCTGTCGTCTGTTGATAATGAGCAAAATGGCTATCTAGTGAGATTATTGACTGATTAATACGAATGAACATTGGTCACTGGTACCATCAAGCGTTGAAATTGAATGAACGTTTTTTTGGAGGGTGGGGGTCGGAAAGCGGAGGGTGAGCTACAGTTATATTGCTCAACTCGAACGACCCTACATACGCTACAAGGAAAAAGCTATAAAGTACCAAACAAAGCACTAGACAGACTACACTAGTTACTAACTAGTGCTCAATCAAAAGCTAAGAAACCAGGCAACTCTGTATGTTATTTAGAATATGACTAGAAGTAGTTGACTGGAATAAATCTATCTAGGTTTTGTATGTACTGCTTACTCATCAACAGAACCTATCAGTAATCTTACGGAAACTGATACATTGTCAGAAATACAAATTCGTACAAATCAATTCTGAAGTCTGGAGCGTTATTAATGGCCTACTTAGTTGGAAACTAATACCTACCAACAGTTTTCATCAAATATGCTTCCAGAAGTTCCAAAAACGTGCATCTAGTTATCGGACATTGCTATGCTGTAGGATTTATTTAAATAATTCTTTCTATGCTAATTATTTCAGTCTTATTCAACCGTGAACTATTATTCCATCCATTGTATAAACAAGAACAGTGTTGTTTATCCTTCGTCTAAACTGCTTTATATTCAACTAGTTATCGCCATAATTTGTTTTGTTTTGTTTTACCGTTTCTTAGCTATTACTTATTCGATGTAGCAGAATCTAAATACACAATGCAATATTGTATACTTGGTAGACAACATTATACATTTCCATTTATTGATTCAGATAATGAATTGATTGGTATCCTAGACATTTGTTGTTCAGACGTGTTAAACAAAGACCAAGTGGACTATTTACATGAAACTTTAAAAGTATTACAAGATAGTTATGCAGAACTAGTGAACTATACAGGAGTGTCTACATGCGGTCAGTGTAAATATTCCTGGGTAGCAGAAGAAGAAGAAGAAAACGAAGAAGACAAAAGAGGAGCAAAGAAACGTCAATTATTAATGAATTTCGACAACAATAAATTCATACCACAAAGAATACAAAAAAGTTTAATAAACATGGAATTGAATTTTTTAACCTTAAGAATGAATGAAAATGTAAGTTTAGTTGTGGAAAAAAAACATAATTCAAGTCATTTGGTGTATTTAGATGATGATTTGAAACTCCACTGTCAAGTCTTAGGGCTCACTTAATACACACTTGAACTGTTTAATTATTATTATTATTTTTAAAAACTTACTCAAGAATCATGTGCATATTAGTTTAGTATTAGACGGTTGGAGGCAATCGGCAGGAAGCCTTGGACCTATGTTTCATGCTACTTGGCACTCATCAGCAAGGCGTATCTGCAACCTTGAAGGAACTGATGTCCCTTCTGAGATTCGAACCCGCGTCACCCAGTGCTGCAGTAAGAGACGTTACCACTGAGCTATTCGGGCTCGCGACTGACCTCCAACACTGACCAACAATTCACAGTGCACCGTATTGGCGAGCCACCTAGCATGGTGGCCACATTGCAAACATGACTGATAGAATTCAGTCTGCATCGAAGATAGGACTAGACACATTACACTAGTTACTGACTAGTTTGCAATCAAGCATATTAGTTTGTTTGGCAACAGTTAGTACGATACGACGTATTGTATAGGCTTATGAAACTATCATGCTAACCTAAATCTTTGTATGTGAACCACTGACCCAATCACTGAAATTCACGTGTCTAATTGAATGAGTTACAGTCTCGTTAAACTGAATTGATCAGTCATTAATTTAGACATTATTAATCTTCACACAATAAACATAATCTAAGTAAGTGAATGTGTAGGCCACCACAAACAACTAAGAGGTAGGAAAGAAATCAAGGCTAAACAAAGACAATGTTTAGGACGTTTGTTGAAACCAATTCAAGATGACGCCATCAACACACTTAGGTTACTGGGTTCCCTCTGAAAATTATGCTTTAAGATTCAAAATCCAAAGAGGAATAGAAAAACTATTGAAAATACTTTCAACTGAAATCCCTTTCTCTTGCATCCTCAAGACGATTTTTTGGTGTCTACCGTTGCGTTTGTGTAGTCAGTCGTTTATTCAATGATACAGTATTTATTTAAATAATATCTATATCGCCTGCATTATCAGCATTTCAGTTTCCCTTTACCTGAGAATTATTTTATACAGTAGATAGGTGTCTACTTTGATTCAACTGCTATTTTTGCATCCTCTGAGAAGACGGAAAAACATACTGATCAACACAAACCGTTGTATATACGTGTACTAATTCAATTTCTCTTCTAAATTTGTCGTTGACGATCTTGTTTAAATTGATGAAAACAGCTTGTCAACTGAACTACCCGTCATAATCACTAAAATTACCTTCCTAACCCAAAAATCCTGATTTCCTGAAATATCTCTACTATAAACAGTCGACAATCAAAAGTGCCTACTAACAGTTGAACAGGTATTTATGTAAGCTTTCATTGAGATCTACAATGTAGATTTGCAATCTAAACTATATTTGTATCAGTCTCAGCATGTTTGAAGCGAACTAATGAACTAAAGACAATTCAAGGAAATTCAATACCCAAATGTTCATGAAAAGTAAAAATGTATTAAAATCTATGACAGGGAATGAAGCGAATTCATGACAATTACTGGAACTTTTCAGAACTACTTTGATTGCACTCTAGGTAGTAAGTAACTAGTTTCATGCCGAATGCATTCGATCAGTCAGGTTTGCAATGTGGCCAACCATACTAGGTGGCTCGCTAACACGGTGAACTCTGAATTGTTGTGATTAGATGGTTGCAGGCGATCGGCCAAGTTTATTGTTTGGTTAAAAATTAATTGCACTATACACCACAATCAGCAAAATTATTCCAGTACTACTCATGACTCAATAGGAATCAGTGATGTTTTTATACAATGAAAAATTTCAAACCTTTGCTGTAGCACAGATATATTAAAAAAAACTCCCATTTAATTGGAAATTGCAAAATCTGTTAATGCGGCATTATTCCTATTGTCAAATAACGGCTTTACCTTAAGACGGTTTATTGGTGTAATTGTGTCCTTTTATCTGGATGGTTTGTTCGCGATAGACAATAACTTCAGCGCCGACTTAAATATGAAGTTAACAACTGAGTCGTATCTAACAGAAACATGACTTTGCCTGAGATACTAAAATCAGTAATAAACGCAATAAATTCATATGTATGTAATGCAGCGTCTCACCTAGTTGTTTAATGTTTTAATCCGCTACTAATCTTTTTCTAAGATTTACGTATCCCTTGAACTATCCTATACATTGCGTTGGTGGTTCAGCGGTAGAACGCTCGCTAACCACTCACATAGTCCGAGGATCGATCCTCGGCCGACGCACTCCTACACCTTGCTCAGCCGGTAGTAAGCTCGGTAAAGAGGGAAGGTTAGGCATGGGGCTAGCAACCCTACATCGAAACTTCAAAGCTCTAGCTTGAAGCCCTAAGTTCCCTTTGAAACCTAAAGGAATAAAACAATAATAAATAATATCTTATACATTACGTGACCCATTTTGTTACCATTCAATGCTTAACTATAATTCTGACACCTCTAGTTTAAATTTCTCTAAGCGATACTGTTCTTTTAATAAAGCACATATGTATAGAAAATGCATAGCTTCATAATAAATTCGTTTAAAAGATTCCACTTGTTAAAATACTACAAATTAAAATCTATTTTCAATCTGACAGTTTCATTAGGCTTGCATGAATGCCATTCAAAACTGACGTATGAAAGAATTTTGTTTATTCAAAACAGGACATAAGAAGTATAATTAAACAGACGAATAGTATTTGAAGGATTCAGTTTGTAAGGAGATATCGCACATAATTCAGTCATTTGAAACATCTGCAACATTTGAATTTGAAGTAAGATGACTAAAGCAAACATTCGGCCCAGAAAAAGGCCATGGTACGAAAACATGGATTTAGAATAACGTATAGCAGAAATATAGACTGAAACTAATCCAAACCCATGGTCTAAATATTAGTCTTCAGTTCACCGATGGCTACTGAAGCTGTAATGACAATTCATGGCCTATAGTATCTATCATCTTAAGGTAAAGTGGATGATCATAGATGGTATTGATTTGCGGCAGTGCTACATCACGAGTTACTGAATTCCGACCCAAATACCTAAATGATCAACGAGCTACCCTCGTAACCTGGATGTGCTGGGTTTGACTCATTGTATTGTCGTGGGTGCACACTGATGAAGAGTGATAAACTAGGACGAAACAGCTGTTCAGTACTCTCTGATTTTCAATGAATCTCTAATTGATGTTAGTCTGTGACGAATGCTGCACTAAAATTAATCCCAATTCCTAAAAAAAACACCAATAAATTAAGCATAACAGAAAGTGCATTTTTACCAGAGACTACTTTGAAACTCAATTAATTCCACTTGATTCCTTCAAGTATAAAATCACGAGAAAGTTTTAATCAGCTATGTAAATAAAATTCACTTGTAAAACAAGAGAGTATCGAAATGAAAAATTGGTTCGTACCGTTTCAGAAAATAAGAAAAATTGCATTTTATGAATGACACTGCTAACTACTACCTAAGCTTACGAAATTCCATATTAGTTTGTTTATTAGATATATCTCACAATGAAACAGTATTATTTACTGGATGACAAGGTTTCGAACAAAATTTAGTGTTCATAATCATATCAATAGTAATCCCACGACTTTGACACTTAAGTTTTATGGTTAGTTAGTTACTGATACACATAAAAGAAGCCTTGAAACTTAATAATTACCCGGATAAATTAGTCAGGAAATATGTAAGGAAATGTAAAAATAAAATAAATAATGATAGTAGCGATAGTGATAATAAGAATAATAATGATTTAATATCAGTAAAAAGTTTGAGCATTGTGGATTAGATAATAATAGTAATTATATTAATGACGACACCAATAATAAGGAATCTAAATCATCAGTAGTAATTCCATACAAGGAAGGAACCTCAGAAGCCTTACACAGAATTCTTAACAAGGCAGAAATAAAAAATGGCATTCAAACCCACAAACTCAATTAGAAACAAGCTTTGTCGGTTAAAGGATCAGTTCTGTGCAACCTTTAAAACAAAACAATTTAGTTTATCCAATACCCTACCTGCAATGATTGTCAGGTCAAATACATAGGTCAAACTAGTAGAACAGGGGCAGTCAAACTAGCCAAACATAAAAACCTAGCAAAATCTAGATTGGTTGACCCGAATAAGCTAAGAAATCTAGAGAATGGTTCAGCTATAGCACTACATGCAGTCACACACAACCATACAATAGGATGGGATAGGATGACAGTTTTAAAATTGAATATAACAAGGTTGAGGGAGAGCTTTGTTTATCGAATCAACTGCAGATACATGTAATAGTAATGATTCAACACCTGTCCCCGATATCTGGAAAATTCTACTACCCATACGACAAATAGGAGAGAACAAAGAAAACTATAAAACTCGTGTGATTACAATTGATATGATTATGAACACTAAATTTTGTTCGAAACCTTGTCATCCAGTAAATAATACTGTTTCACTGTGTGATATATCTAATAAACAAACTAATATGGAATTACTTACTACCACAGTGCCCAAGTTTTACACATATATTAATAAACTTACGAAAGTTCATGAGAAATCTCATCGAACCCATTACACCACTGGAAACGCTAATGCATAAGACTAAAAAGAATGAACTTAACAAGGCAACTACAATTATGTTTGTTCAATAAAGGAAGAATTTTAGCAAAAGATATCCAAGAAACAAAAATTATATTTTATAAAATACTAATCTTCAAAAGTTTGGTTTGTAAGGATTAGATTTGTTTACAAACCAAACTCTTGAAAATTAATCTGATGCTCGCTAGTGACTTGCTACAGGACAGAGTTTCCCGGAGCTCTAGTGAGAAGTCGTGACCAATGAGGTCAATGCAGTCAAGTGTGAAGATGGATGTCCCGCCGATGACATTGGTTGGTGGTCGCGCTAAATCACGAATTGGTAGAAGTTAGAATTCATGGTCCATTTAGTCAGGTCCCAGTGGCTGAATGGTATACGAGCTTGCCTTGTAACCGGAAGGTCATGGGTTCGAACCCCAGTGGGTGCGTACTGCCGATGATCCTCAAACTAGGATGAAACAGATGTCCAGCAGTCTCTGGTTTTCAATGGTTCTCTAACTGATATCAATCCGTAGTCAAACTCGTATAAATAAATACTAATCATTCCTAAACTGTACTGTGTTAATGGCCGACAATTTCCTGGAAACTGTTTCCAAGGCTCTAAAAATTCACTTCCCACATATAATCTGGGAGCATATTAACTACAGCTTTAAATGAAAGATTTTCCAAATAAACACATTCGATCATATTTCGTTTCAAAACAATAAATGACATATATTGTCTCACATTCAATAAATATCAAAACAAATAACATTTTTGCAACAAAGTAAGCATGATAACCAGGAAAGCATCGTCTTCTTGTGCAAGTGTGTCGACAGTTATTACCTCCAGGCTGCACACACCATAGAAATTGATTGCTTTAAATACCTGAAACAGAAAGAGCATTAATGTTCAGTGACCACAGAGTCCAGAGGACAACTGCTTTAGGCCAGTCACACACGGCCTGTTTGACTTTAGTTTGAAAGCTGTGTCCATATTAAGATCTAACCACCGGCTATAGACTACAGTACGGTAAGTAGGGACCTACAATCTTCGTGGTTGATTTAAACTAACCTTCTCCTATCCAGGGCGGCAGTGTAGCATAGCCAACCGTCACACTCCTATGCATCAGTAATACGAATTCGCTCTGAGACCTCCAAACATAGTGTAAACGACTTACATTCTGATCTTGACTCCGCTTTTCGTCTAACCGCTATCTAAACGAACTTTCTGGTATGGCAAGACCTACAGGAACACTTGTTGGGCCATTGAGATATTCAGGCTCGATCGTTTCATAAAGTCAGCAACTTTCAGAAGCGTGATAACCTAGTAGTGCAGAATATCAACACACTGTGCTAAGTGGTAAAAGCAGTTACGAAGAATACAGTCTGTCATATGCAACTGTAACTGAATGCCCAGGATGATGGTATTTTTAGTGTTACAATGATTTGACTAAAATTATATCAATCTACTAAGTGAAGCAGTGGGACATGCATAGTCTTGGTTGGTTATAAATCTCCACTACTATCCAATAAAATGTCAATGTAACTATTTATATGTTTCCTGGTATTGTTGTTTTTCTACTTTTCTGTAATCATCTTAAGATGGTTAGCACTTTTATTTGAGAAATTAAGACGAGTTTTTTTTTAAAAAAATTAAATTTATTATATAACAGCTTTTAAACGACATTGGGAAGTATGAAATTCAATTAACCGACTCTGAAATCTACTTATTATGGACAATGATAATTCTGCTTTACCCTGATCGTGAATATGATCCAATAAATGAAAGAAGTAGCGTAAAACAACTTTTGGACTCAATAAAGGATGATTTTCACTTATCGATTACAGAATATGACCCCTTTGTACATGAAAAGGAAATAAACGGTTCGAGACAAACTCAGTTAAATGAATGTTTTGAAAGTAAGTCATTGTATATTCATTCACCATAGAAATAACTGCCATGTAATAAATGGGAAATTTACCCATTTTATCGAACTTTGAATACCTACTTGAAGAACTGAAGAATCAGTGCCAATATATACTTATGACTGACATATTGACAGTATGTAGACCGAACTTTCCACATAGAACTAGGAAACAAAAATCGAACAGTTGAAGTTGCCACACCTCAAAAAGGCAAAAACAAAGTTAGAAAGAAGTAACGTAATGCAAATACAAATAAACGAAACCGTAAGAGAGAAATAAAAAGTACATGAAGATCAGGAATGAATATATCTCCCCCCTCAAGTCATCTCATCACCTCAACCAAGCGGTCTATATTACATCACGTGACGTGAACCATCAGTCAAAGGCTTTATGAGTCAGTAACGTGTTTTAGCCTGACTACTCCTAACTCTTTTTCACCTAACCCTATATCATGTAATATTGATAGTTAAGGCAGGAGGTGGCTCGGTGAAAGTAACACATGTCCCAACCGTCTTTATCGATTGACTTTCCTACCTTACATTCTGCGCCTACCCTTATTATTGCTCGCCATATTATACTACCTAACACACGGGATGAAATGCAAACAAATACAGCCAAAGATGGTTAACCTTTTAATACATCCCACTTGCAACAGCTATGTCTCACAGTTGTAAAGCAGGATGGAAAGGACCGCGGTGCAGTGCACACATCCTTTGATCGACAGTCTGATATCATGCCAAACACTACAACAGCCTATTGTAACTGTGCTGAGATTTCGTCAGCAATCAATTGATTGGGGCTGATGCAACAAACTTAACCATTTCACTCCCAATCCTCTTATTAGGAGTCGATGCAGGCCAGTCTTGCAGTATGACTTTACAGGAGCGAGTCGCAAGGTGTTCAGTAAACTGCATTTGTCAGCGTCCTCACCTAGGAGGACTATATTATCTTCATACTGTTGACTGGCGAGAGCCATAATGTGTAAAGCAAACCAGAAGCCATATCAGTATAAATCCAAAGCAGAACATGAAAGAAATGAAACCTATAACTATAAAGATATTAATTTGCTTAAACAGGCAGATTTTATAGCTGAAAGATCCACTTATCTAAAGCTAATATGGTTGGGACAGCCCCTACAATTTACGAATGTAAATAATTCAATATTAATAAAATTTAATTTTTGACTGTAATGAATTTCAATATATTTGTTCATTATTATGTTTATTGTATTCTTGTAAATTAGAAATTTCCCATGAAGAACTGGATCAGTATGCTTGTCAATCGATGAAATTTTTGTACCAATGGTTAAAATTATGCATCTTTATTGTTAATGGAAAGTTGAGTACATAAAAATCAATCAGTGAATCAGGTGAAGAACAACCACGAAGTCAACAGTAGACGACACAATTGTAAACCGTAGAGAGGAGTACTGTATAGCAGTTTGAATGTAATCTTCAAATCCGTATTAACACTTACACACTGTATTTACTTCTAGTGTGATAAAAAAAATACATAAATACGAAAAGACTGTACAACCTGAAGTGGTCATGTTTACTCCTCTATACGCTTTAAGTTAACAGTATGAATACAGTAAATAATTATTTATACTGTAATGCTTATGACTGTTTATAAATTATGTTCGAAATCTTATTCAAAAATTATTAGTACTGTATCACTGAATGATATAGAATAAACCAATTGTAATGACCAAAAACTGGCTCGTTGTGGTCTGAACACAGGGAAACCAATCTTTGCATCCTACTGTATGGCTGTCCGAAACTTCCTTGAGACACACACACATACACACACAGTCGAAAAAAAGCTCCAAAGACAGCAAATAACAATTGTTCGTGATTGAAACCCTATGTGTGGCTCTCAGCAGTGCCGTTAAGCAGCTATGCAGTCAAGGGAACTTCCGAGTGAAAAAAAAACAAGTATTTAGAACCAAGTAGAATATTCCCACACAAAGGTGAGATCAAAGCTCTGTCCACAAGGATCACACACCGACAGATCTCGCAACACAGTCCAAGGTCACAATGACTTTCGTTCACTCAAACATCATCAATGTATTGCATTAAAATTAGAGATTAAACAAGGACAAAGATAAATAACAGGGATCATGTCAACATGTGATATGCAAATGTCAGGAAAATGACGTACAGTCCAGGATGAAAATGGATAATAAATACAAATTTATTTGAAACACCAAACTACGTATATATATTCAAATGAACTGTCGTCAAGATTTGACCGAAGAGTTCTAAAATATTTGGGCGCCGAGTGAGAAGTAGACATTTGTAAAAAATTATATTTGTAAAATCTCAGCGATATTGAAATAAGTAATTCCAACGTTTTGTTCGGCAATCTGGTCCGAACTTCTTCAGGGAAATTAATCAAAATTAACATAACAGAGGTTTTTATATATAAAAGGCACATCTTTTTAAAAACTTTGTCCAATCATGATTCATAAAAATATGTGCCTTTTATATATAAAAACCTCTGTTATGTTAATTTTGATTAATTTCCCTGAAGAAGTTCGGACCAGATTGCCGAACAAAACGTTGGAATTACTTATTTCAATATCACTGAGATTTTACAAATATAATTTTTTACAAATGTCTACTTCTCACTCGGCGCCCAAATATTTTAGAACTATTTGGTCAAATCTTGACGACAGTTCATTTGAATTATTGTGCTATCGAATTAAATTGACAAGGAAACTACGTAATTGGCACAATCATCGTGTTTTCAGTCTCCGTTGTCTGGAACGAAATGTACATCCTAAATCCGTAGCTGTCGAGTCACCTGACAACCACAGTAGGTCGAATAAAGCAGCTGAATATTCAGAAAGAAGACAATGCAATAAGTTCGACAGGGTGCTTAAACTAAACTCTAATCCTAAACACCATAATTTTGAAAATACGTCTAATCATAAAATTCTAGATACTAGCAGTTTGAACGGACATGAAGGTTTGATGTTAGCTGATGCATAGGAAATCCTGATTAATAAATAAAAATGGATATGTATCACTAATTAATAATACTTGGTCAAATTCCTGACTGTCTATATCTTCCTATGGGGACGTTAAGAGATGTTTTACAACTGTTTACACACACACACGCATGCACACTCTGTTTAAAGTATCTAACAAAGGTAGACCAATATTTGTAAGTCCGAGGTCAAATTTTGATCACAGCTCATACAATTTTGTTTATTATACTTGTGTTTATGAATCATGATTGGACAAAGTTTTTAAAAAGATGTGCCTTTTATATATAAAACCTCTGTTATGTTAATTTTGATTAATTTCCCTGAAGAAGTTCGGACCAGATTGCCGAACGAAACGTTGGAATTACTTATTTCAATATCGCTGAGATTTTACAAATATAATTTTTTACAAATGTCTACGTATATATATATATATATATATATATATATATATTAGACCGTTCAGAGGGGATTTTCCAAACAATTATTCTGTTACACAAACCAAGTGTTCGGAACTACCATAGTGGGCACGTGTCTGCATGTGACAAGGTCTCAAGATAACTGAAAAGGACGTTTGGAATTGGAATTACAATCATATCAGTAAAGTTTCCCAGTTGAAAACATCTAATAAAAATGTACAGAAGCCACATCATTCATAGTTTTTAAGTTCTGTCTGTAGGAGATTGTGATATATCAGAGAAAGCAGTTTACTCAACTAACTACTATCACAGCTAATAGTTACATGTACAGAAATTGTTGTGAAAAGTAAGCGAAGCTGAAATTCTTAAGCTTTAGTATATCAGTTGGCAGTAAAATACTACAGTTATACACCAAAATATGAAATCATTGAAAAGACCACGAATCACTAACGAGTGGAAAAGTTGAAATAAGGTAGTGATTCAAAAAAACCTATCCATTTATAAGGGAACAAATGTTACGACATCTAAGAAAATCGTTCCACATATTTCGTCATCTTTAAACATTTAATACGAACCTGTAAGTCTGATGCAAAAAAGATTATTTAATTAGAATTTATTTGGTTGGAGGATTTCATCATGAGTTGGCATCAGTTGGAGAACCATTGGAAAACCTTGGAGTACTGGACAGCCGTTTTGTCAGCCTAGTTTGGGACCCTTCAGCAGTGCACACCTACCGGCTGATAACCCAGGTTTTCCAATGGTTCTCCAACTGATGTCATCTCGTGATGAAATCCTCCAACCAATCAAACCAAAAAATTTCCTACAAAAACCAATACTTGAAAATTCGAATTTAGTTATAAAGGAGGAAGAAACTAGGTCAGCTACGAAGTATACAATGCTGTAAGCAGCCTAATACTTATATTACGTAACTAACCATTCATTTGAACCAAGAGTCACAAAATAGGACTGGACGAAACAGCAGAATGTGAGGAATGAAAAGGTGGACATATGTTGGACTAAAGAAAATACACCAGAAGATCTGAACTTAGTGGATTATATATATCTGATATCGCACACACCCCAAGATTTATAAATAAAAGCCAACAAGTTGATAGCAAAAGCAGCGATGACCACTTCAGGTAATCATGAAGGCAGAGGGGATGAAGATACCCAACCACCAACAACAAACAGGAGAAATTTAGGGGGAGTCACGTATTCGACTTACCCGACCCTTTCATTTACAGGCAGCACAAATGACTACATCAAAGCCATGCAGGATCGAAAAATTAAAAGAAACCTTTATTACTCTGAAATCAATATGGAAATGTACAATTACAGTTAAAAACCTAAATATGGAATCACTGAAAATGGAAAGCCAACGAATCTCGAATGAGTAGAAAAGGAGGAAATTACCGATAGAGGTCAATAAGGGTGAAATAAGGCAGTCAGTCCTTCAACTAAACACATCGATTTATAACGAAACTAATTTTACGAAATCTAAGAAAAATTTTATACATGTTTTATCCTCCTCAAATATTTCAAAAAACTCCATACCTCTGTTTTAACTTTAGTGATAGAGAAGACAGAAACTATGTGAGTTATGCAGTACATAAAATGTTTATACCAGAAGACAATCGTTTACCACAGAATCCTGAAATAATAAAGAGACACGTTTCCCAAATCATAAGTGCGAATGAATGAATATAAAACCTTCGAAAACAATTGTAACCACTAGATAGTTTCTTTCGTTACCTTACATACATCTACATTCCTAAAACAACAAAAATACATTCGTTTTAAGAGTTCTGCCCTGCAAATACACGAAACCGAAGCGTTTACTACATCGTGACTTACATTTCTGTTTATTACCTGTCTTTTCAACCTCCCTTTACTGTCTTCTCATGGTTTGTGGCTTTTATTTATACTGTTTCAAGTAGTTTACTGGGGACTGACTGACTGGTTTCAATATAGAACTTTGCACAGATGTGCCACACTCCATGTAGCACACGAACCACGAGAAGACAGGTAATAAACAAAAGTGTGAGTGAGGGAAAAATAATAATGTGGAAGAACAATAGAGTTTTATTGGATATTATCCATCACAAGGAGTGGATGCATCTGCACCAGCTATTGGAAACGATTTTGAACGATATCAATGATTGTCTCCGGCCTTCATTGGTTCTTACCATCCCTAGGACTCCAACCAGTTTGGAAGTCTACACCTATCTCCCGATGTGGCTGCCTGACTTAAACTAACTGTTGTGGATTTCATTGACTGATGCCATGTTTTCGTTTGACCACTACTAGCTCTTTTCCAACCTGCTCCATCCTATGTCAGCCGACTAACACTGCCCGCTGTCGAAGCAGGCGATGGCTAAGCATGCATGCGTAACACATGTCCTAACCATCTCAATCGATGCAGCTGCTTCAAAACCTCATCTATTGATTTCCCCTCCTTACCTAGCACTCGACGGGTAACCTCAATATAGCTCACTGTATTATACCACCTAACACCGACGGGAGATAGAACGCAGACACCTATGATCAAAGACAGATAACCTTTTCATGTCTTCCACTTTCAGTGGGCATATTTCACAGCCATAAAGGACAGAACGAACTGCTGAGCAGTACACACGCCCTTTGCTCGACAGCCAGCCAGATATCACGTCTACACCCGAGACGGCGTAAACTGGCATATGCGAAACGAGCCTTCTGCATTCGCGCTGAAATTTCGTCAGCGATCAACCCGTTGGGGTTGGCTGATGCAACTTCCTAAATAAGCGAAGTTGTCAACGCGCTCTTCCACTTCACTCCCTATTTCTAAGCCAGGAGTCAATGTAGTCCAGTCCTGTAGCATCATCTTACATTTGGCAGGTGCGAATCGCATGCCAAACATTCGAAGATTGCAGCTCAATGTGTTCAGAAGACTCTGCATTACTGTGGAGAAAAGATGAACAGTCATGGTGTCACATCCTTTTTTTTAAAAAAAAAAAACAACTATTGAAAACTCTAAGGGTTCTCGTATTACGCTATAATTTGTAATTTTTATTACTACACAGGAATTAAATCTTGACAACGCAATACGAATGTTACAGCAGTTGAAAACGCAGTTTGATTTGAAATATTTAATTGATTAAATGCCTAAAACAATTTCAGAATATACTGTTATGAGTTTATATATATATATATATATATATATATATATATATATATATATATATATGCGCGAAGCAGACGGAATACAGGTATCTGTGGACAATTAGATAAATAAAGTAATATTGATCTAGGAACATTACTATAAAATAATAATAACAATAATAAAAATAAAATTAGTAACAATATTAACATGTTATAGGAGCGTGGTAAATAAAATGAATAAATAAATAAATAAATCATAACGTAGAATTATACGGTTATAAAATCAAGAGAACACAGCTGATCTGGGGCATAATGCATCAAATAATTTGTTTTGTACATAATACAATGTTAGGTAGATAGATAGATAGATAGGCAGGTAGGTATAAAACGCATTCATGCTTGGAGCTACAGATATATGTACATATCCATAACTATATAATGGTTGACTAACTGTCTGTTATTTCATAATAATAATAATAACAATAATAATAGTAATAAGATACAAAACGGATAAGCAGTAATTCGTTGTTTACCAATAAACACTTCACAATACCCATTGTCAATCACCGTGTTAAACCGATTGCTGAAGCTAACGAGATTAGAATCAATATACTCGCCACCACAGCCAATATAATACAGATTATCTTGCACTAAAACAGACAGTTGATTATTCATTGATTGATGTTGTGATATGATTATGAGTAATTCACAGACGGCACATGGGAGAATGTATACGGGAGGTAGAAGTGTGTGTGTGTATTCAGTACACCCAAAAAAAGAAGAGGGAGAAGGGAAAAGAAAGGAGGAATATTAAGGACAAAACCAACAACATCAACAACAATAATAATAACAATAACAATATTCATACAACAATAACAGACAACAGTAATAATTTTAAAACAACGTAAAACAATAAATTCACACCATTAGGACAACACACAGATACTATGTACATGCATAAATGGTGTGTGCATGTCTGAAAACTGTTTATGCTTTCAGAAAAATTATCCACAAACCCCTGAATAATTTTATTCCCTTTATTACAAAGTAAACCGATAACCATTAGAGAAATATGGACCACAAGAAACAATAGATAAATTCAATGCATTGCATATTTCTTCTGTTGTCAGGTAATGGACAGGAGCTTACCTTACCCCCTCTCCATCATCAATTTATGCGCACTGCATACATGATAAATACGAAGAGAAAGTGTATAAAAGCTAGAAACTACTAGATGATTTCTTATCGTACGTAACATTTTTTATATTTTGTTTCAAATAATTCAGATGAGAATATTTTGAGTAGTCACAAGGTGTTTATGATGACGGAGACAAAATAGGAAAATTATGTGGAAATAAATGCTATACATGATTATCAACTTCAAACAGATACAACAGTTGCGCACTTAAAATATTACCTGTTTTTATATTAAAGGTGAGCTGCAAAGCTGTAGTGTTGACATCATAGGCGTCAAAATTAGCTTAAATTGTGAATGTGTTGATCTTAACTTATCTAAAAGTCTCTTTTAGTATAATTTATACACTTTATACCGTCAAAAGTGCAAAGTACTTAGCTATGTGCAACACTCACTCTCGTATGCAAGTCACTAAAATTAGTCTCGAAATTCGTGTGTTCAGATAATTAGCTAAGCGCTACTGACGTGATACATGAAACCTTTAATTGTACAGCGAGGACTGTTACAAGGACCCAATCGTACATTGCAAATTTCTGTGCCTGAAGTTCAAGAGATCAGTTTATTGACAGTGGCGAAATTATAGCTTTACAGAATACTTGTCTCTGAGAATAAAGATGACGATAGGCAAATATAGTTAGAATAGTTACGGTAGTTGTTACTGCTTTTCTGATTAGTAAAAATTATACTCAAAATTTCAAAATGCTAAGCACTGTTAAATGTATTGAAATGCCTCCAATTAAAAATATTCCAAGACATTTGATAACAGGCACATGAAAAACTAACAAAAGGAATCACAAGGCAAGTTGAGTAGGCTGAAAATTCAACTGTACTGCATAACTTATTGTACCTTTTAACAGTCCAAATAACATTCGATTTGCAAGAGTGAGAGGAATAATAATATCAACGCAGAGACAAACATTACTGAGAAGTGGTTCAACCTGCCACATCACAGAAGGTAATGTGAACATAAAACATACACAGGAATAACCAAGAAAATTAGGTTTTGCAAAGGAAAAACTACTTTGTAGCAAACCAAACTTGTCTTATTAATCGGTTGCTTATTAACCTCTGCCATCTATTTCAACTTGGACATCATAAGCTATCATATATCATATGTGGTTAGTGGTCTAGCACATAAGATTATCTTCTCGAAAGAAAGAGATGAGAAATAATATCAAGTGAAGCATGAGAACGCAGCTAGAATGAGGGCTAAACACAAGTACGTTGATCAGATGAAATATTAAGCGTGCAACGTAGTGATCTCAAGTTTTAGGTTTTCTTTTGCCTAATTTTATCTTAGTCTGAGAATCCTGACAATAAGAAGTTCCAATTTATACATTTGGCGCTAATGGGAACACTTGTGTGTTACTGAAATCCTGTACGAATATTTTCAAGAGAATGGTAAATAGTGACATACTTACCAGTTACAGGTATACAATGGCAAAAAGTGACGATAACTGAAATAATTCACTTACCCGACGATTCTTTCTCTTTCTAAGCACAGCTGCAGAAAGTGTTCGCTTGGAACTTACAACACAATCAGTAGCCTTACTCAAATTGTATTCCACCTGATCGATTAAATCACCCTAATATATCAAAAATATATAATAAATAAATTAAGTTCATTAAAAATAAAGAAAATTAAAAATCTGCAATAATATTATGCTACGGAAAGACTGTAGTGGACAATACCAGATTGACAACACTAACAGAGAAAAAGTAGTCAGTAGTTAGGACAAGAGTAAGTATCCTAACTAGAGTGTAACATAACGAAAAAAGATGAGCTGTGAATTATGTTAGGCAAGTAAATTTTTCAATTTACTCCTTAAACGAGACCACTTCACCTATTTAGGAAGTTGCATCTGCCTCAGCGAGTTGATCGCTGACGAAACTTTAGCGGGAATGCAGAAGGCTCGTTTCGCATATGCCAGTTTACGCCGTCTCTGGCGTAGACGTGATATCCGACTATCGATCAGAGAACGTGTATACTGCTCAGCAGTTCGCTCCGTCCTCCTTTATGGCTGACAGTGAGATATGGCCATTCAAAGCGGAAGACATAGAAATCCTAGCTAGCTGTCTTTGATCATAGGTGTCTGCGCTCTATCTCCCGTGTGTGTTAGGTGGTAGGATGGATCAGGTTGGAAAACAGCCAGTAGTGGTCAAACCAAATAATCAATCAAATCCATAACAGTTAGTTTAAGTCAGGCAGCCACGTAGGGAGGGAGGTGTAGACAGTCTAACTAGTTGCAGTCCTCGACATGGTAAGAACAAATGAAGGCTGGAGACATTTGGTGATACGACTCAAAATCCTTGTTGTCAATGACTGGTGCAGGTGCATTCACTCTTTGTGATTTGTCATATCCAATAAAATTCCATTGTTCTTCCACATTACTATTCTTTTTCCGTGACATACAATTCTGTTTATTATCTGTCTTTTCAACCTCCCTTTATTCTCTTCTCGTGGTTTGTGTGCTAAATGGAGTGCGGTAAATTGATGCTGTGCACATCTGTGCAAAGTTCTATGTTGAAGGCAGTCAGTCAGACTCCTTAAACGGCTTCGGAAGCTTTCCTTACTTTATCAGGTTTTTCAAAGAGATATTACAAAACCTGATAGAACAAGCATCACTACTTATAAGACTAACATCTGGAAAAGTACTATCTTCTGAAAAAATATTTATTCCTATTTGAACCAAAATGCGGTGTGGGCTGCTAAAATTCTTCTTTAAAAATTAGTCAGTCAAGAAATTCATGCTTTCCCGTGTTACGCCTTTATAATTAGCAAACAAACATGGCTGTTTTCTCAGCTGAGATGATTTTGGCACAATCCAACGGTAAACTAAGTGTTCTTCGTTAGCAATCCACAGTACATAGAAAAACAGTTCGAAGGTACTCATTGGATCATGAGTCTGTCTCATTACTTTTGTTAATGTTAGTAAATATACACTTAAACATTCATCACACCTGAATACTTCACATTTTAAATTTTATTAATAATCAGGTCCTTCGTCCTGAAACTTCTGAATTATTCAGACAATAAATAATTGTAACAGCCAGTTTTCTTACAGACACTTTGTGTATTTCCCTGCCTTTTAAGTGGAATGCACATAATTATGAAACCTTTTGTGTACAGCTGTCAAACCAAGGGATTAATTTGAGGTTTATTGACCCAGCGGCTGATGCGTTGACATTTGGAATCACGGCTAACGCGTTGCAGTTTAAGTGATAACATTGTCACTCGAAAGTAATGCAAATACATCCAGTTGACCGGCATCCGACAGTTCCAATATTGCTTGACCCCAAGGCGGCACTTGATACCGTCAACTGAGAGGTGCTGTAGCAATGTCTGACTGAAAAGGGAGTATCGAGAATCGACATCGCACTAATCGCGGCACTTCACTTGAAATCACACTGTCGTTTAAAAGCCTATAGAGTTTTCATCTGAAGTTATGACAGCTAGTGTTCTTCGTCGCCATTTTTATTCCATCTTAAATGTACTAACAGACATAACACGAATCGAATTTAGCGAGTTAAGAAATGGCTTGTTACATGGAAAAATTCTCATAGATTTAAAGTATATGAAGACGCTGACGAAATGCATTCTTCCAAACATTTTCAGCAGAAATCTTAGTGTTTGACATGCGATTCGTCCCTGTAAAGTGCAAGATGACGCTGCAGGACTAGTCTGCACCAACTCCTAGTTTAAAGATAAGTAGTGAAGTGGTTGGGCGTGTTGATACCTCAGTTATTTAGAAAGTTGCATCACATATAATAGGTTGATTGTTTACGAAATCTCAGCTCAAAGACAAAAGGATTGTGTGCCCTTTATTAACTTGCGCCATCGCTTGCGTAGACATGATACTTAGCTCACTTGGTTACTCACCAACGGCACGGTGTGGGCAGCCGGGAAGTAACAATCGCCCACACACCTCCAAGAGCACACGAAGCCTCCCCACAAACGGCTGAATACTGCTGGCGATATGACTCAAAACTGTTTTCAATGTTGCAGATGCACTTATTCTTTATGAACTCCTAGAACCATCAAATTCTCACTATTCTCCATGTAATTATCAATATCCCATACATGACCGTTCTTTATAATTCCATTAAACTTTTATTTATATCTCCTATATGAAGTGTGGTAGGTCTCGCGTTGAAAACTCAGTCAGTCACGTTAAGGCATTCTACACTAACTCCGACTTCCTTTACTGCATTCCGAGAAATAGTTCCATTTATATGCGACGGAAAAGCAAAACAAGCTTTCACTACTCTCAAGTCTGTGTGGAGGTCAACAGCACTCAGCATCAAAACGAAGATAAGATCCGGATTTTCAACTCCAATGTTTAGTCAGTGCTATTTACTATACGGATCAGAGACTTGGCCAGCGTGTCATAAAGAGCCTCTCAAACAAAATACAGACCTTCATTAACAACTGCCTTCACTCAATACTCAAGATCAGATGGCCAGAAAAGATCAGCAACAGAGATCTCTGAGAGCGAACCAACCCAGCAGGAACTGATTGTGAAACAAATAGGCAGGAAGAAATGGAGATGGATTGGCTGGTCATACTCTGAGGAAACAAAACATCAAGTGACATCACTAAACAAGCCATTGCTCAAGTGGAACTCGAAAGGGAAGCGGCGAGTTGGTCGTCAGTGCAAGAGTGACTTGGAGGAGGTCATGTGAAGAGATGAAAGCGTGTGGGCAGACTTGTAGCCAGGTGAAGACTCTAGCAGAGAATCGAACGCAATGGAGACGCACGGCTGAAGCCCTATGTTCCTCTAGGAATTTAAGGAAACAATAATATAATAATAATATGCGACGATTCGAGAACTAGGCTTAAGTCCGAAAATCCTATGATCAAAATAGCAGTGGTAAAAGACCTAGACAACTTTTATAGGAAGTGGGACAATGGGGACAAGGGAGATATGCAAATGCCTACCAAATGATAGAAACTATGTAGGTTCACAATTGATATTATCTGTAGTATGAATCAATCAGAAAAATATCCAATATCCTAAGAAAAACATATGACATTTATGAGACAGTGGAAATCAGCTTTCTGAAATAAAGAGTAACTTTTTAGTTTATTGTTCCTACATTCCTACATAATTCACATTTCCAGAATTTTTTTGAAACCCACACCATCGCTGTTAGAAATATTATTACTAGATTTGGTCTCTAATTACTGTTCATCATTATATGTATTCAGCGTGGTTATATGAAGAGAGAAGTTACCTTCGGGAAGCCGGCCAGTCAATATGTCTCCGATCGATGGGAGCAAATGAAAGTGGGGGACATGAAATGTCTGAACCACGTTTGAGGCTGGCAAGGGACCTCAGATTGCAGAAGTGAGATGTGACATAGAAGTGGAGTCTCCAAATAGTTTACAAGAGAGTTAATAGTCTACTCCCGTCACCCAAACAACAACCACAGCACAATGAAGGACTGGCTATCACAACGTTACCCACAGTATACAAGGTTCTCATACAGTGAGAATCAATCTGCTTCAGGATAATGATAGCAGGATTCAACTTAAGACGAAGGAAAGTTACAATTATCCAATGCCACTCTCCTACAACCAATGCATATCAACAGAAGGAAGATAACTACAAACAGTAATGGACAACATGCCAAATGGCAACATCAAGATTCTGATGTGCAACATGAATGCCATCATCATCATGGGTCGAAAGGCTCCCGGCAAAATGAAAACGTAGAACTCTTTGCAGGCTACCGCGCGTTTAGTTACTTGGTGGTTAGAGGCAGCGTGTACAATCACAAAGCTATCCACAAGGCGACAAGGATTTCATCACAGGAATGCAATAAATATCAGAGAAACTTCACAACAATCTCAAGAAGGCGGGGACACCGCTTACTGAACACAAGATCAGGAAGAAGAGTAAAAGTAAATTAGGACAAATATCTAGCGCGAGGAATATCCCAGATCGATTTGGAAGCCTTCAGAGAAGTTGGAGACAAACCAAAATTTAAATTCAACAAAAAGAATCTGAAGGATGAAGCTACAAAGTACACCTTTACGGCAGTCATCAGGAAAATGTAGGTGACATTAAGCAACATCATCGAGGAAACCCGCATAGAAAAACACTGTAAATCTCTGAAAGCAATGTGAAAGAAAGCCACTATAGGCCTCTGAAGCAAGAAGAGGCAAAACAAGGAATGGCTCACTACAGACACCTGGAAGCTGAAATGGGGAGAAGGATGAAGAGACAGATGAACCAATAAAGAAATGGAAAACAAAAGCAGAAACTGAGTACAAACTATAGAGCAATGAAGACAGGAGTGAAGAAGAATGCTAGGGAAGGCAAAATATGTTTTTACGATACACTGAAAACTGAAGCAGAACAGGCTACATGTAAGAGAGACCTCGCAACAATATATGAAGTAATCACATCACTATCCACAAGGAGACCGACACAGACAGAGTCGATGTCAGATACCAAATTACCAAAGAAGTGAAACGGGAGAAAGAGGGAATGAAAGCTTGTGAGCAGTCATGGAGCCAAGCAAAGGTAACGATGTGTTGCCCAAGTCCTATGTGCCACTAGAAACACAAGGAATAGGTGATAATAATAATAATACTCCGAAAATAAACAAGTAGAAAATATAACTTTCTACATAGTAATCTAATGGGAGACAATATATAAGGTGAATTAAAACCATAGAATATTCATGAGAAAATGGATACACAGTTGGCGAAGACAAATTACCTGCTGTTCAACGAGAAGCGCCACATTGAAAAATAACTCCCTCATCTCTTGAATACTTTTTTCTAAACGAATAATATCTGCATGTCGAGCTTCTATTTCCGATAATGATCGCTTTGCAGCTTCTGTTTCTGCCATGATCTATCAAAAGGAAAAGATTCATATATGCTATCTAACAGTGAAATATCTTTAAATAGTACTTGTAACATGCTCTACAATGCACTAAAATGTCGTATGCGTAAAGTGATTCAAAGCAGCGTCAGTAGCAAGGCAGCAGAATGTTCGCCAACCACGCATTTTGTCTGGGAGACGCACTTCTAAACTTCGCTTAGGTGGTAGGTAGTAAGCCCGGTAAAGAGGGAAGGTTGGGTGTGAGGCTATCAATCTAACCCCGTAAAATAAAGAATAACACCTCTGCTACTGAAATTTCAAAGCTCAAAGACTGAAGCCCTCTGTTCCACTGGGAACGCAAAGGAATAAAATTTTAAAAAATAAAGTTTAAAGCAGCACAACAGGTTCGTGTATCATGTTGGGTTTAAAGATTGAACGTGATTTTTACCCAGACTAGGAAGCCTATTAAGCCGATTTGATAAAAAAATCCACTGCTTAAATTCAGACTTATCATTTTCAACTACATAACCAATAAGCAAAACCTCAAACTACATATATGTTACACTATTTATTCGTAGGCAAATATATGTTATTACAGGGAATTGAAAAGAATAGTTTTCCACATATACTTATTTCCAAGACTTCTGACGTGAGGAATCAACGCAATAAAACTAAAGCAAACACTAATTGGTATTTCACTGTTGGAATGATGAAGACGCAAAGCAAAATTCTAATAAGGCTATACGTCGAGGGAGGTGACTATGTATCAATGTCTCATAAATACAATATATTTCCGTGGTCTGAGACGCTGTGACACTAGTCGACAAATTCTGTGGTAACAGTTTCGGTGAATACTCGAATCTTCGGCGACCACCAGAAAGCAGGAAGTTGAAAAGCATAACAATTTTGTTAAAAGACGAAGCTAATTAAAAAGGAAGAGAGACAGCACTAATAAGAGACAACGTCGTGTACGAATAAAAGCAAAAGAAGTTTATTTTTTCCAGTGATCCAAAGTCCATATCTCTTCATAGTGCTTGAATAAGAAAATAAACTAATATCTCAGTACTACAGAGTTTACAGAATATTCTCTTAAAGTTAGTCATGCATAGTCTTTAAGAAGATCTGTTTTTTTTAACACCACAATTGATTTTCGAAGAATGCTTTTTCATTGAGAAGCCACAGTATAGAAAGTAATGCATTAATCTAAAGTGGAAGTTTAAACTGCATTCCTACATAATCAGCAGCAACACTATACTCTTGATGAAGATGAGGCTCATAGGCTAAAGCACTCAACTCACAGCTACCTCACGTGCTTCAACTGAGGCAACTGGGTAATATCCTCAACCCTCACATAATGTGTGACACATAGCCTATTACATGAAAAGTTTATTCCAGGTAACTGAGTACAAACCACACTCTCGAAGCTCCACCACATTGCATATTAACCACACTGAAACAAAGGACTTCAAAATAATGATGCTTCGGGTGTTACTAGTTTCATGAGGTCACGGCAAAAGGCAAGTCTAACTGCTTCTGTATGAAAATGTGTTAAAGCAATGTACCACTTACTGCCTGCGTGAAAATCCCAGGATGGTTTTTCTCTAACATCTTTTCAACCTCATCTTCAGAAAATGTCACATTAGCTAGAAGGAAGTAGATTTTGTTGAAGGATGAAAATAAAAAACTTACCAAGATTGAGCTTAGTTCGAATTCGAGCTTTACACTTGTCTCGATAGTCGACTTGGATTTGACTATATCTGTTCATAATGTGAACGAATTGTCGAGAAATAGCAGCATGCTAAAGTAAAAAAGGTAAGATATTCAAAAACTAAAACCTGAGAGCACTTTAGACGACATTTACCAGTCGTTCCTGACAAAAGTTTGTCATCCTCCTCTAGTTCTAATTCTAAAATCACGAACGGATGTCAAAGGTTACACAGTAACGACTACCTTTTAAAGAACTTCTGATTTTATGTGCTCTGTCTCTAATGGAATTAGTAGCTGCATTAAGCTGATTGTCCAATTCTAGACTAGAATAAACAAATGAGTAAAGTTACCTGAGTCTCTTTGCGGAGTGGCTAGTATATCCTTCTGAAGTCTGTCGATTGTATTGACATCATTCTCCAAAAGTTCAATATCCGTGTGCAGTTCATTTACCTAATAACAGTTAAACAGGTAAGCAATATTTACTTGATTGAAAAGTTTAGCATTGAACTGAGATAAGTTAAAGTTTTCATCCTTTTTAATTTGTTTATCATTTTTTCCCTTTATTCGCTAAGAATACAACCAACCGTCAATAAAAATAGTAGGAATTACAGCTTCAAGCTCGGGTAATCGGTCCTTGACCATCCAAATTCGCAGGTAACTATATAGATGTATGCGATGCTGAAAGAAATAATGAACTTATTAGCTAAAAACTCAAACAATAAAGCGTCATCAATCTATATAAACCGAGGTAAGAACAAACGGATTCATGCATCGTGGTAAAAGGTCTAACATATTCTAGCTAGAGAGCTTTCACAAGCCTAGGCATAAATAAAATGGATGTCTCAACAACTATTGAAATAATTCTTTTTCAAGTCTTCTCTTATGTGATTAGACTGTAACAGCAATCTGAATGACACAAAAACGCTTTTAGTGGTAATGGTGTATTATTTACTATTTGAACTGTACGAATATTCCATCAGGGAGACAGGACCTCATGACGCAGAGACCTTATGAAGAACTCAATATTCCCTCTCAAATCATAGGCTCCAGTCAACCTTTTCAAACAGAAATGAAGTGTACTTCATCACCCCGAAGTAATACTCAACTACAGGTCTTCCCAATACTAACGCCAATATAACCTAATGGTTCATAAAATCTCAACCCAAATAACACCTTGTGTGATACGAATAATATAATTAAATAGAACAGTGTGTACTTTTCTTACTGACTGTTGAAAGTGACCATTAAATGTATAAAAGCCATTAAAATCATTTCATAATCCGTAATATGGCGGGAAATGCGTATATTAAGATGTAGTCAGGGAAGAGTAGAGACTGAGAGAATTTAGACACTCGGTCGGATTGTAAAGCTCAGTCAACTCAATCAGCTGAAATTTCTCCAAATCAGCTCGAGTACAGTCAGAAAAGTTCTAGAAGATCAGCTTAAGGAATATCTCCAAACATAAAGCCTGAGTGCTAGTCGAATCTGCAGGTGTTGGTTTTTCCTGGACATTTATTAGAAACTCAACACTTAAAACAATATGCTCCAGAAACCACCTCAAAGAAAAGCTTACATTTACGCCCTATTTTCATTCAAATAGTAAAATCCAATTACCCAACCTTTTATTAAACTTACTGTTCACCTTCTTTATGATTGCATTCTATACTTTCACTTGGTTAATTTCCTTACTCCACAAGATTTAACCCGACAGACCAAAAGAAATTTGATCCGCCGAGCTGCCACTGGACATCATTACAATGAGAAGTAGCTTGATTTCAGTCAAAAAGAGTTCAAATTATAGTTCCAGACATTTACTTTATGTGTAATTCAGTGATTCATGCTGCGCTTGTGCTATTTGCACTAAAAATACTAAACAAATGTCTACCTACATCTATTCACCTCTTTGTCCACCACTGACCATAGTCAAGACACACTTCATGAGTCTACTTTTGGTTATCTCCCGACCAAACTTAGGTGAGTTCTCACTATTCGTAATTCGAAGTTCCTCATACCCTTACGCTATTTTCCGAAGATTAGGTTACATTTTCTTCAATTTTCTCAACAACAGAATCAAGATTGTATTAGGGACGAGTAACCGAATTATGCAGGATTAAGTGTTTAGTTAATTTCTTTTTGAATAAAGTTGTAATAAATCATCGAAAAACTGTTAGAATGCATTTCCACAAACATAAATGTGTAGTAATTTGCATGATTAACGCTTAGTGAGCGACAGCACCATCCAGAATGAGTGGAAGGCCTATACTGACAGTAAAGGATGATCCTCTTTAGAGGTGTTTCTCAGATTTTACATTGTCCCTCTTTACATCTTAAAGTAATGCAGTGTGGAGGATGGCTTTGTATCTACACTGCGATAAAAATGGATAGCTATCATTAATTCATTGGGCAAAATATTTTGTAGACATTTCCACTAATCCCAGTCTTCTTACCTACCCATAGTAGCTACTCGCTACGATGATTACGCCTTTACATGTCCTGACGTAATATTCGAGTCTTCAGTAAGACTCACCAATCTTAATTTATGGGTTTTGCAGAGTGAACGCACGATCAGAGGTTAAACAGTAAGACAATAATTGTTTTTTTTAGTTTTCAAAACACTTTGTTTGACTTTGACTTCCGTCTGGGATAAACTATTGTACGTAGGACTGTGTGACTGCCAGACCTCGCTATCAGATACTAAATCGAAGCACAAACTAAACATGATGAAATCCTCCATGCAATCAAACAAAATCCCTACAAAAACCAATACTTGAAAACAAACTAAACACTTATGCATGATTACAGAAAAAGCCACAAGTGTGTAAGCATTTATGATTATACATATCACACGTCTGGGAGAATGCCAGATTGGCTTCATTTGTTGAGAGAAGAAAGATCTAATGAGCAATTTGAATTCAAACAAGAACTAGGCTAACAGAAAGGATAACGTCAGCAATGATTATATATCTCCATAATAAACGGTGACACGTCGCACAAGCGCACTCTGTAACATGAGTGATCTACTCGTTATTGCAGCAAAGAAGTTTTCTATGAACAAAGACTCACTCAGCGAAATTACAATAAAACCAAATTCATGTACCATAATTTTCCAAGCAAAATCCTAGTGCACTACATACATATGTTGAAGCAAACGAAGAAATGATACAGACAACTGATCATGACTGTGTACTCACAAGAGAGTCTAACAAGACATTTATATTCCATATTAGTTTGTTTATTAGATATATCACACAGTGAAACAGTATTATTTACTGGATAGCTATCCAGTGATATAACTAATAAACAAACTAATATGGAATTACTTACTACCACAGTGCCCAAGTTTTACACATATTAATATGACTTATGGTCTTCCTGTACGAAGACTTATCAATAAAGACATTTATATGCCTTCATGGAGATGTTTCTGCAGCTTTCTTGAAACCCAATGTATGAAAGTGCTTCACTGCAACGGGACTACAAATAAAAACTGAGATCAACTAAACATGTATGCAATAAGTTATTGCGAATTATTAGCTTATTAGGATTTCTAACTTTACATAGTGTGAACATTTATATAGAAATCAAACTTACACAGTCTACCTATTTTGACAAAGGTGTCGAGTTAAATCACTGCGGGTGAACCATACGACTAAAAATATCCTGAACCCTTGATTGTAACGAACACATTCAGAAAAGCCGCATGTTTCCAGTGGTGTAAATAGTGATCTGCATTAAATACCTCAAACTGTAAACATAAAATTGACTGCCGTCATACTACAAGATTTTTATTAGAATTACAGTTTTGTTTTAAATTGCTTAATGATTGTAGTATTTTCAAATATTTTTTAGTTATCGCGATGGCTACTTTGTCTTCTCAAGAATTTAGAGTTGCTGAAGATAGTTTTGGTAAAGTTTTAGTCCCTAAAGAAAGTTATTATGGAGCCCAAACTGCGAGATCCTGCATGAACTTTAACATTTGCTCAAGAACTGACAAGATGCCAGTAATTTATTTCAATAGTGTGTAATTCTTGTAGTCGCAAATAATACATTCTATGGCAATGATAAAAGAAGTGGCAGCGTTAATAAATTTTAAAAGTGGCAGGTTAGACAGCAAGTTGTCTGGTGCCATTGTGCAAGCTTGTCGTGAAATATACCAAGGAAAACATGATAAAGAATTTCCTCTCGTTATTTGGCAAACAGGCTCAGGCACACAAACAAACATGAATGTTAATGAGGTTGTGTCGAACAGGGCAAGTGAGTTAATCGAAGGGTCTAGGAATTCAAAGGCCACTGTTCATCCAAACGACCACGTTAATCTGGGACAGGTTTGTGCATTTTCTCTCTTAGTTTTCAATGTGCTTATAGAGTTCAAACGACATATTTCCTACATGTATGAACTTGAGCATTGCAATAGAAACTTCTTGGAAAGTACTGCCTTCCCTTAACTATCTCATCAAAGTCCTTGAAGAAAAAATGAATGAATTCATGGATGTCATCAAAATTGGACGAACTCATATGCAGGTCAGTTAATTCCACTTATTTATCCTTTCCTTAGGATGCAGTTCCAATGAGTGTTGGCCAGGAACTAAGCGGATATGTCAGCCAAATTCAACAGGCAGTGAATTCAATTAAGTTACAGCTGCCCTTAGTCTGCCATTTAGCCGTTGGTGGAACCGCAGTAGGAACAGGATTAAATTGTTGCAAAGGTTTTGATGAAGAATTCTGTAAAAGCCTAACAGAACTAACAAAAACTCGTTACGCCTCAGTAAGTCTTATTTTCTTATTTTCAAAGCCTTACATACATACACAAATATTTATCATACCCATTGATATGGAAAGTAACTCACAAAGTTCAAAACAATTGTTATTCAGAGTTAAACTGCCCTTCGTAAAGGTTAAAAACCTTGAAATCGAGCCAGCATTCAATTTTAATAGCCTACTGGTGATAGCTTCTTTCAAATGAACCTGATTACGGATATATTTATATGTATCCATTCATGCAACCAAACGTTGGTCAGCTTTTGTAATTGCCTAGAAATAATTACTTATCCGTGCACAGAAAGAATCATTCTTCAGTTTGAAGACCCCCTTATGTCAGCTTGCCTGCAGGAGCACTAAATTTTTCTCTTATCCACTCGCAAGCTGAAAGCTATAAAGACATTAGTTCTCCAACTTTGGCCAAGGATGCAAAGCTGTCTCTAAAACAAGGCTTCTAACACTTGCCGTACTTCTTGACCTGACTGGCATTTCTCCTGTCAACTACGAGATGTTGCAGCAATATCCGGAGGGGGTATCGCACTAATCAAGGCACTCTTTTCAAACACAACTCCTTAATAGTGATGACAACCTGTAGTGTCCGGTATCTCTATTTTTAATCAGTTAAATCTCAGATGTACTAACAGATGGGTTCCTAATTGGCTTTAGCGGCTTAGGGACTGATTTCTTACCCTGGCACAGTCTCGTCAATTTAGAGCTTGCAGATAATATTCTCCTACGTGAATATATGGACAAAATGAAGAGTCTTCTGGGCACTTCCATCAGAAATCATAGTATGTCTGACATGCGATTCGCACCTGTAAGATGACGCTGTGATACTGATCTACGTAGACTCATAGTTTAAAGATCTCAAGTGCAGAAAGATGACTTCTTGTAACTACTTAGTCCGCCACAAAAATATGAAGTGGACTGACGGGGTGTGTTAACCACTTCACTTGTTTTGGGAAGTTGCAATAGTCGTAGTACACTGATTATTGACGAATGCTTAGCACAAACAAGAAGGCCTCGTGTGGCATTTGCCAATTTCCATCATCTCTGACACAGATAAGATATCTGGTCATCAGTCAGATGACATGCATACTATGCATCTGTTTGTCTTGTTCTTCTTTATGGCCGAGACATAGCCACTGATACTGGAATAATTGAAGAAACGTTCTATTTTTCTTATCTCTTGGTTTAATATAGTGGATGGCGTTGTGGTTGGCCGCAGAGGAAAACTGTATTCTGCAATCGTATGGAGAAGTTTAATGTCCTTATTTGATAAGAATATCCAACAATATGGGCTAATTGTGAGATTATCGTACTCACCAAAAGAATTTGAAGTTTAGTCTAAAAAATTAAAATTTATAAAGACAATGACCGTAAACTTTACCTTAAGTAAATGTTTTTGTTTAGAGCGCGCAAATGACTTGGATGTAGCAAAGCGCAGTTGGTTGTCTAACGCGTTAGTGCATCTACTTTTTTAATGAATGAAACTAAAGTATTCAAATCTGCTTTGCAGCTTTGGTATTATGATTAGTGTGAAATCAAATATCGTTACAAACTGTAACCAGCAGAGTGTTTTGTTAGTTCGTTTAACTATATACTTATAGCTTACCATCATGTATATGCCTAAGCCTTGCTTTCCTGAACAATCCTCAATCTTTCATCAGTCTACGGTTCTCAAACAGCTATAAAATGACAGATTCACATGAGTTAAATAGTTCACATTGATCTGTAGTTAAAAAGCTTTACTGCCAAATGTCACGCAACCGCATTTGTCAAAAGGTGCTTTAGTCAGATAGCCGTGGTTTCTATAAGATTACCCATGGAAACCAAATGCAGAGGTTATGATCATGAATGCGAAACCACTTTATATTAAGAAAGTGTGCTAGTGAAATGAGCTAACTTTTAAAGACCATCAGGTTTGAATGTTTTGAAATTGAAACGTTCATCTAAGTCATTTGTGAATGGCGTCACCAGTAACAAGTTTGGGTCGAACTCTAAGGTTTCTGAGCTAATTACTGAGTACATTATATCATTATTGTTCCCTTAGGTTCCTAATAGAACATAGGGCCTCAAAATCACATTTCCACTTTTTCCTATTCTCTGCGGTCCTCTTCAGCTAGCGCCACGACTACCCATAGTCTCTCATCTCCTCCTGTCATCCTTTCACATACATACGTCAAACCAATTTTTAAGACGTGCGTATCTGAGAGGAAATTAGGGTGCCAAGTATCTAATAACTGTCTCAAGGAAAAAATACAGTCATACTCACTTTCAAGTATTTAGAACTCTAACTGTGCATACTTGGTGTATGTTTATATGGAATGAATACTCTTTATACTTCTATAGACCTCACTAAAACCTCTTCTATGAAAAGTAAACATTTGATTTTTCAAAAAGGTGAATAAGTACGCCAGTCTTCGTCAGACAAATTGTAATTCTCAGTTCTTTTTCATCATTTCCGCTAACTGATTTATAAGCGACTAGTCCACTTTGAAACAAATGAGAAATTAGTCTTAGTACAGCATTTCATTTGAAAACATTTAATGCAGAATAATACCCACGTTATTTGAATTACATCATCTTTTTTAGATGTATGAAGAATCTCCACCAGTAGTGGATCTAATATTTAAACCAGCAGAAAACAAATTTGCTGCACTTGCAGGTCATGACGCTTTGTTGCAGTTAAGTGGATGTTTCAATACTACTGCCACAGCTCTAATGCGTTTAGCTAATGATTTTTGCTTACTCAGTTCTGGACCAAGTTGTGGTCTCAGCGAATTTATTTTGCCTGCGAATGAACCTGGATCAAGCATTATGCCAGGTAAGTGGAAATTATTTTTGAGGTTTGTTTTCAGGATCATGAACGTTTTATTTTCGGAAGTATAACTTGGACAAGTGTACTTGCTAAATGTATAATAAATGTATCTTGCCGTTGAAATAATTAGGATTCTCAAAAAATTATCGAGAAGCAATAATATAACGAAGAGGACCAGTCAAATTTTAAATGAATGTGTGACAAGTGCTTAGGCAGTCGTATTCTAGATAATAAATACCGCAGACAGACATGAGCAATCTATAGATTCTCATGTTAGTTTGCAGCAAACTGCGCACTTTATGTAGTCAGTCTTACTTATAGAAGCATTTTTAGAGCTTAATAGTGTGGCGGATGCTCATCATCCTTACGGCGTGTCCGGGTTCCATTCTCAGCTGACACACTTCTAAACCTTGTCCAGTTTGCTAGCCTGCAATAAGGCGAAAAGAAGAGGGGAGGTCCGGCGTGAGATTACCAACCCAACCGTGTAAAAACGAACCATTGCTACTAAAGCCTAAAAGCTTCAAGCCAAAGATTTCACTCGGAACGCAAAGCAACAGTAAAAAAAATAGTGTAGATTATCTGTATGGAACTTTGTATCACTGTCTGACAGTCCACCCTATTGCAATTCATATCAGTGCTTTGACGTGGCAGGTCACACGAAGGAATACACAGGAACCAGTATTATCTAAATTAACACACACCCACTGGGTATAAAGAAACAGAAGTAGAAGAATGTGATGGATATGATGATCACAAGGTATGGATAGTTATGCACTGCAGAGACTGATCTCGATGAATACCACCTATGATCTTCAAACCGCCAGTTTTAAGATTCTAAGGGTTCTCATCAATAACATCTGCATTTCGCCACATGGTTCCAACCAGCGGACTCTGTAATGGATTGTCACATCCTATTCAAATCACTCTCATAACGTCAATTTTAAGAAACTGTGCGCACTCCTGCAAATTAAGTAACAAAATGGTTGTATTTTATTTACAAAAGTCTGACTTGTGATTGTGATACCCTAAACTTATGTCACCATAAGAAATAAGATCCGACTGATTTCATCTTCACCTTCCTAATAAACTATTATATAGTACTTATAAAACGAGAACATTACAAATATATTTTTTCCTTCACGTTCCCCAGTGGAACATAGGGCTTCAAGCTAGAGGCTTGGAGTTTCTGTAGCAGTGTTTGTTTTTACAGGATGGGGTTGCTAGCCTCATGCCCAACCTTCCCTCTATACCAGTCTTATTACTGGCTTAGCCTGGTAAAGGATTGCGTCGGCCGGGAGTCGAACCCCGGGCCATGTGCATGGTCGGCTGTGCCATCGACGTTAACATTACAAATATATTGTAAGGTTATTATTGATATAAGTATATCTTACTTTGTTGCATCCCATTCTTTTCGTATGTGTTGCACAGTCCGAATGAATTGAAAGTAGTATGTTTAAATTTTAGACAAGCCTGCCTGTTCTGTAGTGACAAAAATATAAATAATTGTTATAATATACTCACTTATGATGATAACCCGGTTCGTAGGTTACTTTACTTGTTACTATGTGTCTATGCCAGGCTTGTTGTGTACATACATATATATGCACCGAATGATCAAGTTGAGTTTACGTGTTATAATATAAAAATGAACTCAAACTGTTTGTCATGCAACTTGCATAACTATCAAGGGATTTCTTGTAAATTAAAACTCCACATGTGGATGATTAGATTTCAAATCCATTATTGATTAGACGAGATTTGTGTTTCTTTTCTAAGATGAAAATTTTCTAGTCTACTAATGGGGAATTATTGCTACCCAGGTATCAAGACCTTTTAAGTATACGGCTAAACTACTGTTTGTCGTTTTTACGGGTTTGTATTTCCTCCCTCTCTCGGGTGGCCTGCTTGAAACTTGGGTTACAGAAAAACCTCCATCAATACATTGCATATGATTTCTCTAATTCAGTTTGTTTAAAGCTAGATGACCGTTCGTTACTGGTGTCCTTGGTTCACAAAATGTGCTGCTGAGCTTTTTGAAACTGGCATTCAACAAAATGTCGTCGTGTATTTCTCAAAGGAGAAAAAGAAAAGATATCATAATAGATTCGTTTGCTCTTCAGGTCAGATAGAACTGTGTTACACGATCTACTGAATTTTAATCTTTTATTTGAAGATCCCGCATGAAGAGAAGATATCGTGTTATAACCTCCGCTGAAAATTCTGTACATTACGTAAACGCTGTTCAGAAAAAGTCTATTATTAAATAGAGATATATCCCACTTAGATCTCATAGTAAGTATTAATATTTGTTAACCAGATCTAGATTATCTAAACGCCAGAATCAAACGTAGTACATCAGTTATAATAAAGAAATTTGCTCTGTGAATGTTGGAAAGGAAACTCAAACACAGTTTGTGAGTAGAGACCATATTTTTAGTTCGCCAAATCGCTGTGGCCGCAAGTTCTATACATTATAAGGCACTGGATTTTTATACATTTGAGGAATTAGATTTATTCCTTTATCTATGCATACGTTTCAAAATGTTAGGTCTTAAATACAAATAAGCTGTCGTGATATTGGTTAGGAATTTAGTGCGTTTACGAAATAAAACTACTGCATATCACGAATACATTGTATGCTTATTCTGGACAATTAAATGATCAGCTAAGAATTGAAAAATATCGATAGTTTTCAAGTTCATTGCTCTGTGTGAATATATCACTAAAAGATCCAACTAATGTGAATCCAAAAGAGATTTGATTTTGTAGACCAAAAGTTATTCGTTTGCTGTTTATAATCATTTTCGCACATAAAACTCTTTAAGTTAGATAAATATTGAAGCTGTTTTCTATTGGATTTACTTCCAGTGGATTTCTTACTTTATGGGAGTAATACCAAAATAATCAGTCATTTCAGCTGAGGTGCTTTTTCACTTGTTTGAAGATGTTTAGGAAGTATACTCACCTATTGTCTTTACTTTGTGGTAGTGAGTTTGAGACTGAATCCAGCAAAGATAAATGGAGTTGTTTGTGGTTCAGCGGTAGGACGCTTGCCAACCACTAGAGTGGTCCAGCGTTCTGTCCTCGGATGACGCACTCCTAAACCTCGTTGAACAGGTAGTAAGGCTGGTAAAGAGGGGAGGTTGGACATGAGGCTAGCAACCTCACCTTGTTGAATTAAAACCACCGCTACGGGAACTTCAGAGCTCTAGCTTGCAGCCTTATGTTCCACTCGGAATGTGAGGAAGTGAAATTTAAAATAAAAGTAGCAGGTCGAAGGTGAGGGCAGTTACTCATCGAAGACATTGCTAAGTGGTCACTCTATTTCATGAATTGGCAGAAGTTGGAATTCACGGATCACTGGATCGGATCGCAGTGTCTTAATGTTCTACGAGATCGCCTTGTAACCGGAAGGTCCTGGGTTCGAATCCCTGTGGGTACGCACTGGTGAAGAGTCACAAAGAAGGAGGATGAAAAAGCTGTCCAGTACTACCCAGTTGGTTTTCCAATGGTTCCGTAACTAATGTCAGCTCGTGATGAAATCCTCCAACCAATCAAACAAAATCCCAACCAACCAATACTTATAAATAATAATAAATATATCACACAGTGAAACATTATTATTTACTGGATGGCGTTTCGAACATGATTTATTGTTAATAATCATGTCATTCCCTAAACATGTTTTTTTACAATAAATGTAGAAGAAAATAATATTTGATTGACAAACTCATGACTGGCTGATTAAAAATGCCCACTAAAATTTTTCAAAAGAATGGTTACTGAACGAAGCATATTCTTTTCGATAACTTCATCATCAGGTTCTACAGTTATATATATACATAATAGTAAGTGAATTAGTGTTATTAGCAACTTTAATGTTGTTTAAATAACATCGAATCAATAATAATTTCAACGGACTACAGTTCGATTGGAAGATGAAGTACCTAGACTAGCTACATCTTCTAGCATCTACCAATTCAACTGCGCCTGTGGAGCGAGTTGTATTGGCCGTTGCTCTAGGAACTTGATTTTTCATTGTCGGGAGCATCTAATAGTGTGGCTATGTGAACGTACAGTAAAAACCATCAAGAGTTTGATATTAGGCCACCTTGTCCAAACCTTCTCCATCATCTACCGGGTACCAGATAAAGTACCAGAAACAGCGAGGTACTGAATACTCCAAACAGCAGTGGCTGTCGCGATTTACCTCAAACAACCAGTGCACTGTGTGCAGTAAAAACAAGTCCAGTGACTACTACTGCCCTGGCAGACTATAAATTCATGAACTTGTATTATTATCCTCTAATTTTTCTGATATTTAGTGTATTGTTATGCTGACGCTAGCGGATTGTAATCCATTGATATTATTATTGATTCTATGTTATTTAAACAATATTAATGTTGTTAATAACACTAATTCATTCGCTACTATGTATATATAAATGTAGAATCTGATGATGAAGTTATGGAAAAGAATATGCTTTGTTCAGTAACCATTCTTTTGAAAACTAATGATTATCAATATTTCTCATACTCCTGTTATATTTTTGTTCCTTACAACATTCATTTTCACCTCTTTTTTTTAAAAAAAAAATAGGCAAAGTCAACCCAACTCAGTGTGAATCACTTCGTATGGTTTGTTTACAAATAATGGGTAATCATTTCACTGTTTCTATGGCTGCATCTCAGGGTCAACTAGAATTAAATGTCTACAAGCCTTTGATAGCTGCAAAACTTTTGCATACATGTGAACTTTTAACCGATTCAACACGCTGTTTTGCTGATAACTGTGTAAAAGGATTACGTTTGAATTTAGATCAAATTCAAGAGTATGTGAAAAAATCTTTAATGCTAGTAACAGTTTTAACACCACATATTGGTTATGATTTATCAGCTCAACTAGTTAAACATGCAACAAAATACAAAAAAGGATTACGTGAAAGTGCAATTGACTTAAACTTACTAAGTGGAGAGAAATTTGATGAAATTGTCAAACCTCATGAAATGGCATTTCCATTTGATAAAAACTGATTTATTCTTATCTTTCTTATAATATTCTTATTTTCTTATTTCTCTATCAATTTATACAATTTGTCTGATCTTTTCAATTTTTTTTATATTTTTGATAGTAGTTCTTTACTTAAAAAACAAAAACAATGATGAAATAACCGAATTGTAGACACAAATAGTATTTGATCAGTGTATCATTTTATATTTTAAAATAACATTTTGGCTGCTAATCATAAATTCTGATCTATAAAAAAACAATAGAACTCTCAATAAAAAAGGGAAAAAATATGAATTGATCTCATTGGGATCTTACCTTCTTGGATAGTTAAAGAGTACATATTTTTTTCAAGTTTGACCTGTTGTTGTTGTTCCCTTGGGTTCCTAGTGGAACATAGGGCTTCAACTACACGTCTCCACTTGCTTCTGTCTTCTGCTGTACTTTTCACTTGCATCCATGTTAATCCATACTGTTTCAACTCCTCTTCACACGATCTCCTCCATGTCACCCTTGGACGTCCCACTCGTTGCTTCCCTTTCGGGTTCCACTCGAGCGTTGGCCTGACGCTCGATATCACCCAGCGGCCTCCTCAGCGAGTGTCCAATCCATCTCCACTTTCTCCTGCATATTTGTTGGGCGATTGGTTGTCGTCTTGTTTGTTCCCATAGTTTCTTGTTGGTGATTCTTTCCGGCCATCTGATGTTGAGTATAGAGCGAAGACAGCTGTTGATAAAGGTCTGCAACAGGCTGTTGGAAATATTCTTTGTGACTCACCAAGTTTCTGACCCGTATAGCAAAACTGATTTGACGTTTGTATTGAAAATCCGAAATTTGTTGTTGATGCTGAGTGACGAAGATTTCCAGATAGGTTTCAGGTTGACCGTGGATTGATATAATTGAGAGAAGTGAGAAGTTGCGACCAGTGGGGTCCACCTGCTCGTGAATGAGGGCATATACTCGCTGATGACACTGGCTGGTGGTCACACTAAAGTCACGAAATTGGTAGAAGTTAAAATTCATGAGGTGGCCCCTGAGTTGGGTTCCAGTGGCTGAATGGTATACGAGTTTGCCTTGTCACCGGAAGGTCTTGGTGGTTCAAAACCCAGTCGGTGCGTACTGCTGATGAGTCTCAAACTGGGATGAAATAGTTATCCAGCACTCCCTGGTTTTCAGTGATTCTCTAACTTATATCAAATCCGTATACACTGACACTTGTACCTTTTTGTTATGACGTTTGTAATCGCTACTAAAACTGTCTAAGTAGTTTAATGAGTCTTTGAGAGTGACATGGAGAAGATCATGTGAGAAGAAAGTGAACGCTTACAGGCGATCGTAGAACCGGTTAAAACAGACTGCCGAGAACAGAGTAAAGTGGAGATGTGCTGCTGAGGCTCTACTGTCCACTTGGAACCCAAGGGAATAATAATGATTTAGTAAGCTGATTTCAAGAACTACGGCAATCAAATGACCCTTCTGACTATGCTATTGATTAATACTCTCGTATATACTTCCACGCGTTGAGAGGCTCCTAAAGAATATTTTGGCATAAGATTGTATTATTCCAAGTTTTTTTTCAGCATATCCTTTTCATAAATCTTGCCTGGGAACAGGCATTTATAGAATCCATAAACTGGAGGTTTTAACTAAGACAACGGTCTACAAAATTACTAGACGTCATGAGTAATATCAATAACTGAGTTTTGTAGTACACTATAATAACAGCTAACTCAAAGGAATTAAAACAAATGTGTAATGTAACTTCAAGTAATGTGTATTGCAACTCAAACTAGAGATGTGTTAATGGGGTCGGTTTTTATCCCTTGTTTAAAGTCTTTTTTCTGTCTACATCGATACACACAGCTATTTAAAAAAAAGACGTTAGTTGTTCTAAACTTCTCAAATGTGAAGTGAAAATGTGAATCGACAAATCACTTAGAAAAAAACACAATTAACATTGGTGTGTTCAATAGGGGAACTATTTATATAGCACCTTTGCTGGCTCGAATGAGACTTCTGATGTATGGCGCCATCAGATTACATTATTTGACCTAGGAAACACCACAAAATCATGTCTGACTCAAAAATTTATTATTTAAAACTACTTGATCAATTGACTGAGATCAAAGTGACCATAATTAGTTGTCTTGCTCTGAGTTAAACATTTTACCACTCTTTTTTGATTGGACACTAGTAACTAGTGTGACGTATCTAGTCCTTCTTTGGTGCAGACTGAATTCTATCAGTCAGGTATTTGCAATGTGGCCACCATTCTAGGTAGCTCGCCATCACGGTGCACATTGATTTGATATTAGATAGTTGGAGGCAATCGGCAGGAAGCCTTGGACCTAGGTTTCGTGCTAGTTGGCACTCATCAGCAAGGCGTATCTGCAACCCTGAAGGAACTCATGTCCCTTCTGAGATTCGAACCCGCGTCACCCAGTGCTGCACGAAACCTAGGTCCAAGGCTTCCTGTCGATTGCCTCCGACTATCTAATATTTTACCACTTTACTGCATGATCGTATCATTCAATATTTAGTACGACAATTTTTCCTTGTATTAGATCTTTAATGATTTACAAATAATATATATATGAAAAGCTTAACAATGTCAAAGATCATCGCCTTCGCCAATTTCCTCAATATACGATTTATCAACCTTATTTTTCCATTTGCATATCTAATATATGCATATATACACATATATAATGTTTGTTAGTTGGAGGTGAAATGGAAATCTGGGTCACGGAGAGGTTCGAACTACCAGTCTCCAAATTAGTAGCCCAACGCTCTACCACCTAAGCAGATTTTCACTTCCTCAGTCATCACCCATTGTACAGTAAGTAGTATATCAACTAAGTGGTCTCACCAGTGTATATCTATGTATAAATTTAAGAATGACGTCTTGGTGCAGCATTCTACATGCAAATGAAAATAAACATCAATGAAAGAAATCAATTAAAATGTTAGACAATATGAACAAAAAAAATAAACCTTCATGCCTATCCATTAGTTTATATCTATCAGTTTTGTGACTGTTTTTATTTTGATAGTACATGAAACATTTCAGATAATATTTTTTTAAATTCAATTTGTGATATTGATTAATCAATTAATTATGTAACACACATTGAGAAGTTGCTGATTCGAATTAACTAACTGTAAGGTTTATTTCTAATATGATATTCTTAGCAAAATCTTTCCACTTACGGTTCATAAATTCATCTGAATATTTTATTATTGTTATTATTATATTGAAATAATCTTAAGTATTTAAATTGCTTGATTTCCGTTGTAATGTATTTAGCACACACCAGCTTAATTTACACTAACAGTGAACAAACGAGGAATGAACCATTGTTTTGTTTGATGTCAAAATTTAGCATGAATTCAAATTCTTTCCAGATATATTTTAGAGGCTGAGGGTGTTGACGTTCGCGGATAGAACGATGGATACTAACGCAAGATCTAATACCCACAACTTCTATAGGTTTCGTTCCGCGTAGACCAAAGGCAAAGCAAAACACCAGAATTAACCGTCCGAATTAAGAAGTATATTACGGAACCAAATTGGAGTGCTAGATGATTGCCTAACTAGCTAGAGATCGTGCACGAACGAATGAACGAACGTAAATGACGGCGTGCCAAGTGGCGTGGATGCTTGACCGTAAGCCTTCAGCTAAACAAATCGACTAAAACAGTGAGGGTCAGCATCCAATATTCATTGATGAATGTTGTGGTTAATAATTCTGGGGAATTACTTACTACTACAATATCTTATTTGTAAAAGAGTAATGTTTAACTGAAATCCTAGTGTAGAACCTTAGACAAAAGTGAAGCAGTTCAATTTGCCAACCTTCATATGATTGTTAAGGAACAAAATCTGATGAAACTACAGATCTGTAGAACTTTACTGGGTAGAGAATAATTAGATGAAGACTAGTGAGGATTTGCAGAGTCTGGAAGTTGACAAGAAATGAATTTACCTGCGCCACTACAAACCATGTTGATGCATGTCACTGATAGTCCCCAACCATAGAATCTCAGTTTACAAATACTGCACTCCTTATAGAGCCATTGTTTCCTTTCTTCAATCATGCGGAATTTTTTTTTCCTTCACGTTCCCCAGTGGAACATAGGGCTTCAAGCTAGTGGCTTGAAGTTTCTGTAGCAGAGTTTATTTTTACAGGATGGGGTTGCTAGCCTCATGCCAAACCTTCCCTCTTTACCAGCATTATTTCTGGTGTAGCGAGGTAAAGGAGTGCGTCTGTGGCCGGGGATCGAACTCCGGACCATGTGCATGGTCAGCGAGCGTCCTAACCGCTATACCACCGACGCACCTGCAGAATAGTCAAATATAAACATTAAGTCTGTAAAGTGCGGAATAGTGTTCTTGAACACTTTTGGATAGGATAAGCATCGAACGACCAATATACCTGGATTCTCAAGAACAGATAGGTGATATTTTCATCATTTGTGACAATGGTTATGAAGTCGACCAGTTGTTACAGATATTTAACAACTTCCACCTAGCAATAGAATTCACTCTTGAAATGCAAGACGAACGAAAAATTTACTTTCTTAATATGGAATTAATAAGAAGAGCCGACAGAACTTTAGGAAGGTAAGTTTATCAGAAACCCATATGGAACTACCAACCGACGAGTTTCCACACTAACATTGATTTCAATGGAGACTTAACCTGAGATATCATTAGAAGAAGAATTTCACCACCTTTGAGAATAACATTCTTCTCAATAACGCGAAGATTAGAGTTCTCCAACCGTCAGTTGGTCTTCTGAAGAACAAGAATTCGCATTTGAAAACTCCTAAGTGCATATATCAGTTCACTTGTTCCTGTGGAGCCAGATATATATTGGTCGTTCTATGCCTATTACGTCTAAAAGGGTTCAGGAACACTATTCCTCATGGTTGCAGAAAGGCAGCAGAGGGTTTATATGGAGTGCAGTAACTGAACACCTAGTCAACACTGGTCATTCTGTCTCAACAGATTCTCAGTTTCTGTATGGCCCTAACGGGGCAGTTTACACGACTTTATGTGGCTCGTGAGAAACAGTCAAATACATCATAGATTCACGCCATGTTTTTGTCTTACTGCCCCTAAATCGGTTACAACATACTCATATTTCAGATAACATTGGTTACTGAAGAAGGCTGTGGTTCGTAATGCCTAGTCTGTTGATAATCCTTCATAACCACTTCCACTGACTTGTGTTGCTAACCCAACACTTAGTATAACTTCATTATTGCTTACTCTATTATACCACTTAATGAGATAACTTTTGAACTTTTAGTACAAAAAGGCTTTGTCCTAAAACCTCAGAGTAGAACGAAGCAGACT